GAAAAGGTGGTTCTCGTCCCCAACTACCTGAAAGCAATTCAAAAGCAGACAATACCAAACTGCAAGGGGAGTTTAGGGAAGCGTACAACATTCTGCTTCTTCCCACCATCTTTTTAGTGCCTGGAGCCTCCAGAGGTCACAGTTCACAGTGTGGCCCCCGCTTCTCAGTCACTCAGTCAGTCACTGAACATCTATTTCTTAATCTCCCACCACGTAGAGCACAGTTCAAGTTACTAGGGACACACTGAAAATGAACTCAGGTCTTAGAGTACCTTGGTCGGTAGGACCAGCAAAGATGGCCTGACGTGCTCTTTCGGGATATCTGTGTGGAAGAGGCATTCAGTAATGGGCTAGTTATAAGAAATTAAGAGCATTAGTACTTAACCATAACCAAACCTAGAAGGAAACTTCCGGAGGCACCATTCGTAGTTCAGCCAGTTTAACAATTCTATCAGCAACTTAGGTAAAATATAAAAAACAGTCTGATCTAATGTGCAGACAGCATTTGTTCGAGAGGGCAGGCAAAGGTGCTAAGTAATAGTATCAAACTCCCAAAAGCATCATGGGAAGGACAAGCTAAAATAAAGTTAGACAAAGTCCGATAAACGTTAGGTCTTGCAGTGACATTAGGACAGGACGGGAAGACGTGGCTTCAAGACAGCGTGTGATTAGGACCCAGAGGTTCGAGTGAACAGGAAACTCACTGAGTCTGAGTAGGAAAGTGAATGTGAACTTGGACTGTATCAGTGCAGGCAGGACACGCAAGCTGAAGGAAGGGCACCCCTATTCTACTCTGCGCAGGTCAAGGTGAGTGGGAAGACTCTGGCTCTGAGCCCCACTTGGACAGGTATTGTCCAGTGAGCAACTGGAACATCTCTACGGAAGGATTAGTTCTGCAGGCCACCAAGCGGTGGGGGGGAAGTCAAATAAATAGGTAGAATTAGATTTCGACTCTACAGGTAAAAAACACCTCCTAGTGGTCAAAACATGAGAAAGGTGGAACTCTCCACCCCTTACTAGATCACGTGCAGAGTATATAAAGGGATCCAAGCATCAAAGAAGGGTTAGTTGAGCCGGTCATTGATTTCCAAACTCTGGTTCTTAGCAAAGTTTTCACTGGCCTGTGCAAAAGGAGTAGTGTCTGTGTATGGGTGAGTACGTATGCACATGGGGGTAATTTTAACCAATGCCCTCTCTGGATGAGAAGAACTTTCCTTAAGTCAGCATGCATACGCTTCCCTTTTTTTTTTTTTCTTTTCTTTTTGGTGTATCAGTGTGAAATGCATTGATAGTAGACAGTAACCGCTGTTGTAAACCTTCAATACATCTATACCACAACATAGTGACAAACCTGAGAATCCCTAAAATTTGATTTTTGTTTCTGATTTTTAATTTACAGGTAGATAAAAACAAAAAGTAAAGGAACGACATAAAGGGACCTTATGGACTTTGTGGTACAAAGAGGCTATGACAACTAGACTCAAATTACTGCATCTCTTCTTTGCTATCACCCAAGTTGGCTATACAATGTTGTACAGGGAGGAAAAAAAATATCTATATCTATAGCTATAGCTATATATCTATATATCTATATGTGTGTGTGTGTGTGTGTGTGTGTACATATACACATATCTCAAGGAATTAGGTTATGCTAAATGTGAAATCTCCCAAGAAACAGAACCTCTACTGTGGGTAACATCCGGCTCCCCTGGACCACTCTTTGGAACCAAAGTTTATGAATCAAGTTCAGAAAGGATCAAAATAATTTACCTCTGAAGTTCTGAAGCATTTAAATTCCTATCACACTGTTACCCTTCTTTTAAAAGGGGTCACAGCTAGATATGATTGCAACAGAAAAGCAATTTCGGAGTCATTGATTTCCAGGTAAACTAAGTAAGCTATAACTCTCATGAATGTTCACATACAAACTTATCATAAACCAAAGAAAGAAAAGACACAATCGTGAAAAAATATAAACTATCCCAATCAGTCATTTTCATTAATCCATACATTTATTTGAAACATTAAAGAAACCTAAAATCTTGGTGCTGAAAGGGATCATGAAAAAACTTTATCCAAACTCATTGGTGCCACAGGCACTAGAGGCAGGAAGCTAGAGGTTCCTGTCTCTCCTGCCTGATGCTCTTTCTATCCCATCACCCTGCAAGGGAACCAAGTACATTAATAGAAGGAGAAAATCTGCAACACGGTTCCCTATATACTTTAGGCCTGTACTTCATATTTCATGCAAGTTCAAAACAGATTAAAAAAAAAAAACCCTTTGCTTTTCAGCTAACAATAACAGTCTGAATTTTCTTCAAATTCGGCATGTCTTTGAAGGGATTTGTAATCCTAAACCGTCACCTTAAGTAGATCATAAGTTCAAAGGCTCACTGCCTTCCTCAATCTTCCAAAAACAAACAAACAAACAAACAAACACCTTTGCATCTACCAATCATGACTGGGGTTTGGGGGCTGTATCAACATAAACACAGTTCTTTGCAAAGTATGCAGTAAATTCAACCCCTTTTAAACTAGTTTTGATGACCAAACACAGCACTTTCAAACCAGTTTCAATTACCAGACAACCGCCCTTTCAAAGTAGCTCACTATTATTTCCTCACTTTGAAGAAGAGACAGATTTTCAAAATGAATAACCCAATAACCCTTTTGCCTCAGGTAAAGAGATCCCCCAAGGTGCACAGGTGTTTACCAAGCTCAGGTATCAGGGAACCCTTCTAAATACCATTCCAGTCTCAAGAGAAACAAAATAAAACAAAACGTACAAACCCTGTTACACAGCTTTAACTACAATAAGTATCATAGTAGTCAAATCCTGATACTGATAATTTCCCTCTTACATTCCAGAAAATTAAAGCTCTTTGAGAAAGACTAAGATTTAAAAACATCAAAAGTAGGTGATGGAAAATATACACTTAAATCAACTAGGGAAAATCTGCAGCCCATACTCTAAAGCCAGAAGCTCCACTTCCATTTATCTCTTGTTTTATTTTCCAGACCAAATGCTTACACTGCTTCTTACCCAAGTTCATTTCACCCCATCTATAGGTAGCATATGGGTACTGATAAAAGCTGTTTCTGATTTCATTTCATTCCCAACTTCCCAGATGTTTGCGAGAGAGGTTGTGTTTTTTTTTCCCCCTTCAGCTATTTGCGAATATGCTCTGATTTAGAACCAACAGATTTAACATATCGTATTTTAGGCTGGGCACGACACAATAAATAACAGCTATAATGAATGTCGAGATATTTCACCAGCTTATAAATAAGTTTGCCTACGTTGGCAAGACTTCGATAGGCTGCCATGATCTTGTTTTAGAGAAAAAGTACAGAAAACACATAATTGAGAACCTGATGCTACCAAAATGGCCAACTACAAGCCATTGTACTTTAGAAATGAAACACGCGGTATCAATTGGGGAGAATAAAGACGGCCCCAACACAATCCTTGGTATGACACATGCATGTATACTTCAACCCATCTCAACAGAGGCTTTAGGAAGAATCAATGTTATGTGTACCGAAAACTCAAGAAAGACTGCACTTTCTCATGAATAATATTCTTTTATACTTCTCCGAATCAAGCAATGAACTACTAAATTAAGCAGAAAACATCCTTAGCAGAAATGTTATATAAATATAATTACAAATCTCACTGCAGCACTTTGAATTACTCAAGTCAAAACAGACATCCTTAAATTTCTGACTAAAAACAGTAACCAAGTTGTCCCTTGAAATCCATCTTTAGGAATGCCAGAAATAATAGGCCACCTTTTGATGTCTGCATAAATATTGGTTTTATAGGGAAGTAATGTATTTCAAGGAAAGCAACAGTTTTGGAGATCTTTTTTTTCTCCCATTACTAACTGGAAAACTGGAAAAAATTACAACCTGGATTGCAGACAGGCAACTCAAAAGCGCAGTTTACTAAATGCCTGTCATAAGAAAGCCATCTAGTGTTAACATTTAGAAATGAAAACTGCAGACAAAAGAGGCAAAGAAAAGAAACATCTAAGTGACTATTTTGAACTTGCTGAGCAAACCTATGAGAATCCCCAAGATTCTTTGTTTACAAAAAAAAAAAAAAAAGTCCATCCTTATTAAAAACCGTGTCTAAGTCTAAACAAAATCCCAAGACTGTGCAATTGCAATTTTTACCAAAATCAGGTTTTGGTGACCACCATTCTGTGACCAATGCACTTGATGTTTCCAATACTCACGCTGGAGTCATCCTGGGCTGAATTAATTTAACCGAAGCAGGTTAATGATGACAAATATCTCCCAGAGGGGTCATGCCAACTTGTTTTCTCTTCCCGAGAAGGATCGGCTCTCGCTGGCAGACGATGAACCGAGACTGATTCTTTGGGTTTGTGGCGCGGTTGAAAATTAATCCGTAGGTGCTCGTGGGGATACTCCCGGGACCTGGCCAAACGAGCTTCCACGAAACGGGGGCCCGAGCAGGACCGCGAGCCGAGGATGGAGCGAGACGCGGAGCCGGGGAAGCCGAGGAGCCGTCGGGCCCCGAGGAAGGGCGCTCGCCGGCCGCTGGGACCTTACAAAGAGGGGCGAGCGCCGCGAGGGCTCGCGCCCCGGGCACACGCCTTACCGGGGAATAAACCCCGCAGCAAGTTCAGCAAGTGACCCCGCCCGGCGCGCTGGGGAACCGCGCCGGGCAACCTTCTTCTCTCGGGTTAGTCACAGAGGAGTCGCTGCGCGCCCGGAGAGTCCTCCTTAGTGCTCGCGTCTACGCGACGGGAATAACCTTTCAGCCGATCGATAAGTTTGAGAACGAGCGGCGGCGGCTCCTCTCCCACCCCTGGCTCGGGAGCGCGGGCGCATCTGCCGGCCGGACCCTCGCCCCGCGCCCCGGCCCCCCGTCAAACCCCGAGGCGCCCCCGAGGGCGGCCCCTTCACCTCGGGACATTCCCCGGACACGACCCGGAGGCTCCCGAGCTGAACCCCCCTCGCCGCGAACGCACCTCGGAGACGCAGTCCGCCGGGACCTGCTACAGCCCGCGAGCGCGCGGCGGCGCGTACCGGGGTCGCCGCCTCGCCGCCCGCCGCTGCCCGGGGCTGCCCATCGGCCCGGACCCTGCCCGCGCCGGGCTCCGGCGGGAGGCGCCCGGGACCCGCCGGCTGCGGCTGGAGCGGTCGGCCTGCGCTCTGGCGGGCGGGCGGGCGGGCGGCCGGGGCGGGGGCGCGGCGCTGCTCCTCCTCCTCCTCCGTCCTCCTCCCGCTCCGCCGGCTCCTCCCGGACTCCCGCTCTGCCGCGCCGGCTCCCGACACCTCCGCCCGCCCGCCCGGCGGCACCGCCCCCCGCCCGCCCCGCGGCCTCCCATTGGCAGCCGCCTGCCGGCCCCCTCGGCCCCGCCCCGCGATTGGGCGCGGGCGCCGTCCGTCCCGCCGCCCCGCGGGGCTCGGGGCGCAGCCGGTGCGCGGTTCCCAGGCCCCGAGGCGCGCTGGAGCTGGGCGGCCGGGAGGGGCTCGGCGGTTTTCCTGCGGAGGGCGCTGCGCGGGGTCGCAGCCTACCTGAACCCGCAGTCCGGGGGCGCTGTCGCCGTCCTCCTCGGGACTCGTTTTCACCCCTCCCTCTGGCACCGATAAGTTAAAAACCCCGAATCTGTTTCAGGGATGTCGTAATTGGTGTCTTCCTGCGTTCTCAGGCACAGTTGCCGAAAATTCTTACTGAGCAAGACATAATCTTTTTTTAATTCCTACAGTTTGAGAAATGTGATTCTTAACTGGGGAAATAGATGTGTCTTGGGTTCGCACGTTGAGCCAACCAAACCTGGCACGTTGGCCCCGCAGTGACGTGCCATCTGCTCTGCCCTGGCTGCCGCGGCCTTACCGGCGCTGGTCGTGGCTAAAGGTCACTGTACTGAGGAAGTCCTGAACTTCCTTTGGTGCTTGAAGATAACGTTGAAGGCTACGAGACGAACAGGGGGGCTGTTGCGCTTCTTAAGAAACTGAAGGCCTGGAATAATATCAAGAAGGTCTGTGCCTCTGAGCAAATGCGCGCTGGCAAAGAGCAAAGTGAGACACAGCGGAGTGTGCACGGCAGGGGACCCTGCATCATCTATCACGGGGACGATGGCATCGAGGCCTTGAGGAACATCCCTGGCTCCCTAATTCTCCTCGCCCTTTAAAAGGAATGATTCTGCTTAATGTAAGCAAAACTGGACGTTTGGGAACTTGCTCCTGGTGGACAGCGTTTCTGATTTGCTTTCAGCAAAGTCAGATGATCTGTAGGGCACTTGAGTCCTTCAAGAGTAACTACCACCTTCCCATGCACAAGATGCTCAACACAGACCTCGGCAGAACCCTGGAAAACCCCAGAGCACCGCACAAGAAGAGTCATCGCAGCGTCCTGAAGAAGAATCCGCTGAAATACCTGAGAGTCATGTTGAATCTAACTAAACCCACGTGCAAAGACCGTGCGGCTGGGCATCATTCTTCACCAGGCTGAGAATCACAAACTCCACGTGGATAGGGCAGCGGCGGCGGTAGAAGCCGGATCCGATGGGGAGGGGTTCCAGGCAAGAAGCCTTTTGTAGGAAAGAAAGGAAAGGAAGCCGTTGGCATAAAGAAGCAGAAGAAGCCTTCTGTGGGGGGCTGGGGGAGGAGGCCGCAGCTACCAAGAAACCGGCCACTGGGGAGCCCGCAGAAAAGAAAACGCACCACAGAGGAGAAGAATCCTGCCGCATAAACTTAGATGTGTGTATCCCTTGAAGGTCAAATCATTTTGCACAGCTCACTTTGAATAAAGACCTGATCAAAGAGGCAGTGAGAAACAAACGCACGCACGCACGCACACACACACACGCACACACGCCCTCGAATCTGGCTCCGCGCCGCCCCCCTGCCAGTGTCCCTGCCCGGCCTCCACTCTATGGAGTGGAGAGAATCGCGCCCGCCGGCGCTTGGTCCCCGCGCCTCCCCCCATCCCACCCCAAAGAGCCTGAACGTCGCCACAGCTGCCTGGCGCTGCGCAGGCACCTGCCACAGGACGCCGCAACATCGCCGCATCGCTGTGTTCACAGGAAGACAGCGGGGAGGGCCAAGCCCTACTGTATGCCGACCCCCGAGGGCGCCCCGGATCGCCCAGGCGCTCCCCTGACCCCAGGAGCTGTGGTGGGAGGATGCACGGGGCATCGCGCAAGAAGTCAGGCGGTGCCAGCGCGCAGGAATGCTGCGGAGCCTGGAAGGAGGCTGGGAGAGGCGTGCAGTCCTGGCGCCCCCGGCCCAGCCCCTGGGCCCGCCCACCCCGCCTCCAGGCAGCCCTCCGCCCAAGGGAGAAATGCTGTTGGATCTTGATCTTGACGAGGAGAAAGAAAATGAACTTTTGTTACCCTCCTTTTCTACTTTGCTAGGATATCTCGATCACCCAGGAGGAAGCTTTACCTGAAACTGTTCATGTAAATTGCTTGACACTTGAATTGGGTGCTGAAACATTAAAGGATCTCAGAGGACTTTTTTTAAGCTATACAGGAGTTGACTCTGCCTTAAGGGATCAGTAGCAGGAATAGACTCTACCTTACCTTCCAGTCCCACCGTAGGATTTCCTGAGCTGGCTTTACTGTGGGAGAGCTGCTAGGGCTGTGTTTCCTGAGACTGGCTTCAGAGTTTTCAGTTCCTCCTTTTCTGGAAGCAGAATTCTTCCTGGAGAGATAATGTTGTCTGTACCTCCCTATGCCCAAAACATGCCCTAAAACATAACCCTCTTATAAGTTAGAGGTGGTCCCTCCCATGTTATATTTCTTTGTGATCCAAAGCCTATAAATATTGTACAGCCTTTTCTATCTCTGTAAAATAGGGGCGTACGATATGGGAATGCGTATAATAAAATGCATCAGAGAGCAACGTTCTGACATGACCAAACTCCTGAGTTCTCCCAGCTGTCACCTCATTAACAGCATTTACCAAGATTGTCATTTATTCATTCAACAAACATGTATGGAGACCTTGTGGTGATCCAGAGGTGCCAGGTGCTGGGGATATAAACCTGCAGAGGACATGGGCCCTGCTTTTCATCATTGCTCCATCTCATCTGTGCCCATCCCCATATCTGGCAGATGCTCTACGAGAGGTATGGACACAGGAGCAGCCTTGGAGGGACACTTCCTGCAGAAGCCAACAGAGGATAAACGCCCCCCTTCACAGCACTTTGTCACAGTACTTCTCACTCTTCATGTAACTGCACATGTCATTATCTTTTCCACTATTCTGTAAGGGCCATGAAGAAAAGAGCCACTTCCCCCTTAGAGTTTGGACTCCTAAAGCAGTGACGATGTGAGTCCATGGGTTGTCACCAAGGTGCTGAGGCCGTATTTTTTTAAGCGCTTGTAGTTGACAGTAAACAGTTGTGTGCATTAATGAAAGTCCCTGAGAGTTTCTGGCGTTCCCAGAACCACAGGTCACATGCAGCCCTCTGGAACGTTCTAGGCCTCAGCAAACATGACCAGGCCTCTTGGCCAGGCCTGGCCAATTCTGGATGGTGGTGATCCGACCCAGGGCCAGACCTACAAAGTGTCCGCCTTCTGGCAGACTGTGAGATCTTCAAGAGGCCAAGCTGAGGGATGATTTGGGACCTTCTTCACCAAATAACATATTCTGGAAAAATCCTATTAGATGTAATGCGTGTGTCCTCCCTCGCTGGTCTTCTTTCCTGCAGCCCTCTTGTTTCCTGCTCTTTCAGAGAAGGGAAACTTAGACCGGAGGCTGTGGAATCGCAGCATCTGTTAAGATATCAGTTCATCATTTTGGCCTTAGAATATCTTACAGAAAAAAAATTCTTTTTTCTATTAAAGCTATAAACTTCCCTAAAGTTTTAAAGAAAAATATTACTCTGAAGTGTGAAGATGTATTTGCCTAAAAGCCAGGGTGAACGATCCTGCGTTTCATCACCTTCACCTTCCCTCAGGTCAAGACTCTCTTGTTCTCAGGCAGAAATAGAGACACAGATGTAGAGAACGAACAAACGTATGGACGCCAAGAGGGGAAAGCGGGGGTGGTGGTGGGATGAATTGGGAGATCGGGATTGACATATATACACTAATATGTACAAAATAGAGAACTAATAAGTACCTGCTGTATAAAAAAATAAATAAAATAAGATTCAGAAGAAAAAAGACTCCCTTGTTCTCTAAACATCACTTTCTGTCTCTCAAGTCTTTTTTTCCTCCTATGAATTTCATCATGCTCTAAGAGCTCCTAAAGCAACAAACTCAAGGGAGTAATGCTGTTTACACTTCTGAATCATCACATCAGCTCCCTCTGAAATAATTCCAACATCAATCTCACCTAGCTTCCTCTAAAAGGTGTAAAGTTCAAAGACATACCAGCTGTCTACCCCATTCCAAGATTCTGAGCTTGTCGGCCGACCTTGGCTGGTACTTGTATCTATTTACCTTTGAACGGAGCAGAACGGGAGCTTGATTTCCTAGACACACTCCAGAAAGCTTCTACTCACAGACGACATGCATCTACTGTAATAAACCTGAAGAGCAAGTTAAGTAAGTGCTTAGATTCCCACCCTCGTTTCTTCTTTCCCTTCTCTACTATCAACTCACTTTTTGAAAGTAGTTCTTTTAAGTCAAATGAAGATTCATCGTCTGCCACAAATATGTATTGATTGCGTGCTACATTCAGGGCATTATGTTAGACTCGAAGGACCCAAAGGGCTGCACCCCGGACCATTTGGGAATTTCATGAGAAGGTGCTCCAGGACCATCAATGAGTGGTGCCCACAGGGAGAGTAGGAGAGCCAGCTGTCTGCAGGCAAAAAGCTTGGGCCTCGTGGTAAAGGCTTCACCAAGGGCATCACACTGGCCGAGCCAGGAGGAAAGAGCATTCCAAGCAAGAGGAAGCACAGTGAGCAAACCCACAGGAGCTGACGGTGTGACACATGTTTGGGAAACAGCTGTGCCCTTTAGTCAAGCACGGGCTTATTCACTTATGTAACAAACAGTTATATGGTGCCTTGTCCATGCCAGGTCCTGTTTTCTTGGAGGAGAAATACTCCCATGTGGAAGAGCACCGGGCACTGCTTCACCTTTTCTCTCAAAATGGAAACAGAAACTTGGTAGGATATGGCCTTGTGAAGCAAAATAAGAAGCGCCAAGTTCTGCTACAATTAAAGGGAAAATGATGAAGCTCAGAAAGCTGGG